GATTAAAAGCTGAGGTTACAAGCTAGTGCTGTTAATCTTGGTTAGTGAGGTCTACATATAAACTATATGAGAGTAATGTACTGTCATAGATATTTGCTAAGTAGTAGTGCTAAGCAGTGTTGGGAAGGTTACTTTACTATTGCTGTGTGATTTATTACTGTTACTGAAGGTCCACGGCTCCGAACCGTAGTAAAGGGACCTCTGGCTAATACGGTTCCGTGGGGCTCGTAGCCGAAAACTAGCTTTACTTTGTTGTCTGGGTCAACTCTGCTTGCGAGAGACAGAGAGGGGCGTTGAAAGACTGCTCCAACTGAACTTTAGAATTTAAGTAAGTTTCGGATGAAAACGCGAACAAAGCGTACAGTCGAGTTTTAATAGCTTACTTACAACTGGGCTCGTCAGGCACTCTTCTTGGCTGCAGTGGTTATTATTATATTTACTTGCTTCCAGCTCCCGTTTTTGCTCGATGACAGCTCGTACTTTTCCTTTTTCTCCCTCCTCGCGCTCACAGACACGTAACGTGTATGGCAGTCCATTCTCCCTGCAGCACGGACTACACTGCCTATGATGCTACATTCTTTAGAGCTATGCTTGTAGCATTCTGCCTGTTAGCTTAGCACAACAACAACAAAAAAGAGCTCTCTCACCCAGGAAACACGCAGAGCAAGAGCGTCACCTTGTAACCATGGCAACCGCAACGCTGCCGCCTGGAACAACAGAACGTAGCTGTCAAACAAAATCCAAACAGTCCTGACCCGCCACAATATGAAACAGGGAAGTACCGCCGTGTAATCCATTTATTTCAACAAAGTAACTGTATTCTAAATACCACCTTTTTAAACGGTACCTGTAATGGAATACAGTTACTCATATTTTGTATTTTAAATACGTAACCGTGGTACATGTATTCTCCCCAACACTGGTGCTAAGTAACAGACACTCACCAAAACTGAAGCACAGACCTTGGTCGGCATCACAAAATAAGATATTTTAACTGTAAAATAATTACATTTTTAAAAATTCTCAAAAAGGCACAAACACAGTAGAGAGGTCCAGTTTAGCGACTCCAAATAGCAGAGATGAGGCCTATTTGATCGATCAGGTGTCTGAGATCCAGTTTTTAAATGAAAGAGTTAATAACATTTTTTTAATCACCCCACTTGGAGTTGTTATGAAGGCCGTGTGCGAGGATTCACTCACCACTGGAACAAGCTTACTAAAGGAAATGCGGTTTTTGGCATTTCTGCGTTATTATTCCTTTAGTTGTGCTGCTTAGGCTGCTGGGGACGTCTTTCTTCTTCAATCACCTCTTTTATTCTGTATGTATTTATACACCATTCTGTATGTAATCATTAGTTATTAATCATCTCTGGCTCTTCCACAGTGTATTTTTTGTTCTGTCTTCCTCCCGTCGCCCCTAACCAGTCACAGCATGCGACTGCCCCTCCCTCTCCTGGAGGCTTCTTCCTGTTAAAAGGGAGTTTTTACTTCCCACTGTTGCTTGCTCAGAAGCGGTCGTTTCCTTGTTGGGGTTTTCTCTGTGTTACTCCTTATCATACAAAGCACCCTCAAGAGACTGCTGTTGTTATTTGGTGCTATATAGATGAGCCTGAATTGAAAAGTTGAATTGAATTGGATTCTGCTGCAACTTGGAAAGTTCTTGACGATTGATCTGACGATAATAAATAATAAAATCTGACAATAAGCTACACACGGTCTGAAGCAATGCAAAACTGCACATCTTTGGGTGTTATTTGAATCAGTCATATATCATCGTGTACACAGTCCACCTTCCTTCCATGTTTGAAGTTTCAAATGCTTCCTTTGCATGGAAGTTTTAAGGTCATGCTCTAAAACTTATGTTAACTTCTGTTTTCCAAGTAAGATGTCCTATTTCTCCCCAGCACTAAGAAATAAAATTATACCACCTCATGATGCTGTAAAATTCTCAGAATTTCTCTCTAAGTGCTGAACGTCGACTATTAGTCTGATGAGTACAAACACTGGATCAAATATCACGTGAACGATTACGAAACAGAGCCTGTGAGGGACCGGGCCAAGCCGTGAGCCCTTCTCCTGGTTTACCCAACACTGAGACACTTTCAGAGCTCTTTTTTCAGAGTTGCTAAGTGTCTGTTATGATAACACAAAGTGGAAAAAATAACCCACTCACACACACACACATGCAAAATATGACGCATCCCCTCAAATCTGCATTCAGAAAGCTCAAACTCCTGCTTCCTTCAAATCGCCTGTGAAGTGTTAATGTTCATTGTTGATTGACATCTTTGCATGTACCCTGGGGGGTTGTGTTCAGTGGAGCATGTATACGTTCTTTGAATGTGTCCATCGTGCAGCTGTGCAGCCCAGAAATCTAAAATACACATTAGTGGGATAACATACTCCTACTTTAGGTTTTTCATCAGGGATGTTTGATTTTAAATCGTCACTTCAGTTCTGTTTCTGTCCACCATTTGTCTTTCCAATTTGTGCACTGGTGGAGTGTAGCTGTGTATAATGTTTTAAAATACTGTACTTAAACACTTTTCACCACAAACCTGGAAGCCGTCCAGCACGCCAATCTGACATGTTGGCAGTTGGAATTAAAGGCCTCACTCAGGAGCTTCTCTTTGACGGAGCACAGAAGGTACTTTTTACAGCACAGCACTGACATATTTAGTTATCAGACAGAAAATTATTTAACTCTGAAAACATGCTAAAAATAAGATACTACATTAAGATGACACATTTGTAAAGAATATTAAGTGCAGCTTTTTAAAAATCTTTATCAACTTTGACAATGTCCTGTTTTTTGTTACATCACAGGCTTTTGTGAAATATAAATATATTATATA